TTTGAGATTGGATCTCACAAACTATTTGCCCAAGCTGACTTTGAACCACAATCCTGATCTCTGCCTCCTGAGTTGCTAGGATTATAGGCATGAGCTACTGGTGCCTGGCTGCACATATTTTAAAATTAGAATAAAATATGCCTAAAAATGAATTTATATATTCAAATTTGAGGAAAAGAAACACCCAGAATCTTTTTTTTTTTTTGGCGGTATTGAATTTGAACTCAGGGCCTCACACTTGCTAAGCTCTAACACTTGAGCCACTCCACCAGCCCACCCAAAATCTTCTTGACACAAGGAAGGTCTGTCTTCTCAGATATTGGGAGCGGGTGACAGCATTCACTGCCCAGTGCAGCAGAACACACTCTTCTAGGTTTTTTTTTCTTTCTTTGGTGGGACTGGAGTTTGAACCCAGGATTTCAAGCTTGCAAAGCAGGTGCTCTACCACTTGAGCCACACCTCCAGTACATTTTTCTGTGTTTATTTTGGAAATGGGGGGTCTCATGAACTATTTGCCTAGGCTGGCCTTGAACCTTTATCCTCCCAACTAGCTAAGATTACAGGCATGAGCCCCCAGTGCCCAGCTTATAGTTGTTTTTGATGGCACCATTGTAGCTGTCATGTAATCAGGAACACAAAAACTCACATCAAGGAACAGGTGTTAACTATATTATCAGGACTGTATTAATTCATTCTATAGGGGAGGGGAGTCAGAGCACCAGAGAATATTCCTAAGCACGACAGTCCAAATCCACTGCCAAACAGACTTGTTAGGGTTTGTGGGAACATTCTAAGACATGGAGCATTCATGTGGAGCTGGTAGAAAAATCATGGAAACTGACACCTCTCAGAACATGGAAGTCAGGTGGTTTGGAGAACAGCCTTGATTGGTGGAGTGTGACTGGTCTTACAGCTTCTGGCCAGTTACTCCATCTGCCAGCAAGCTGCCATTTAGTTACTCTGTGCCAAATGGCAGCACAAAATGCCCTTCTTCCCATGGTCTGACACTGCCTGCAAGGTCTGATGCAAGCAGGACTGAATATCCATAAACATAACCTGGTCAAGGTCTGTGTCTTATATTTGAGCCTGTATTTACTTCTGTTTTGATGCTAGGTGACGCTCTGGGTCAGGTTTCATCTATAGACAGAGCCATAAAAATTCTGGCTTGGCAAGCAGCGGTGATAACTTTGGTTATTGGATGAGTTGGTGATGGATGCAAATCTCTAATGTTATTGACTGCTCTGTCAGTAATCTATGAAAATTCATTCAAGCTGGATTTTTTTTTTGCATATAGGGCTTTAAACTCAGGGTCTCACACTTACAAAGCAGGCACTCTACCACTTGAGCCACTCCATCAGCCCTTTATTGTGAAGGGTTTTTTTCAAGATAGGGTCTTGAAAACTATTTGCCTGGGCTGGCTTTGAACCTCAATCCTCCTGATCTCTGCCTCCCGAGTAGGCTGGATCACAGGTGTGAGCACTGGTGACCAGCTCAAGCTGTATTCATATGTCATTCTTTGAGCTGTGAGTTCTATCCCTGTTCAGAAGCACACATTTCTTCTATACCTCAGAGGGAGGTTCACACAATTGGCAAGAAAAGAGTCAGGAAAATGGGCTGAAAGCTGGTGTTTGCAAACCCCAGATGCTTTTGTCTCCTGCATGGTGGCTCCCAACCTGACAAAAGGCTTCATTTCAGTCTTTCAATTCTCATGCACGATAGACTATTGACAAATTCTAACATAGGACCATAAAGGGAACAGATTCTGGAACATCTACTTCCCAACACTGCCACCAAAGATAGATGAGACTGCAACTACAATGATAGATTTCATTTCTCTTATTATGGGTCTCTCTTTTGTTGTTTTTGGTGGTATTAGGGTTTGAACTCAGGGACTCACACTTGCTAGGCAGGAGCTCTACCACTTTAGTCACTCTACCAGCACTTCATTGTGTGTGTTGGGTATTTTTGATATAGGGTCTCACTTTTTGCCTGGGCTGGCCCAGAACCGTGATCCTCCTGATCTCTGCCTCCTGAGTAGCTAAATTTACAGGCTAACATTAAGGCACCAATGCCTGGGCCAAAGTGAACTTTCCAAATAAGGATTCACATGAGACTATATGGTAAACTTTACCTACTTACAAACTAATAGTCATTTTAAAAGAAAAAAATTCAATAGGTAGCTACTCAGGAGGCTGAGATGAGGAGGATCGCGGTTCAAAACCAGCCCAGGCAAATAGTTCAAGACCGTATCTCGAAAAACCCTCCACAAAAATAGGGCTAGTGGAATGACTTAAGGTGAAGGCCCTGAGTTCAAGCCCCAGTATCACAAAAAAAAATCAATAGGGCTGTTTCAAGTGGTAGAGTGCATACCCTAGCAAGTGTGAGGCCTGGAATTCGAACCCCAGAACCACAAAAAAAAAAAAGAAAGAAAACCTCTCCATATATTATATATTTAAGTTTGCTCATGGGTTATACACACTTCAACACAGAAAGATAAAATCAAGTGACTTAACAAGAACACAGTACCCATTCAACTCATAAAGTGTTGTTTTTAAATACAAATTTCTCACCTCAAAGATTCTTTGTGGAGCCAGGTGCCAGTGGCTCATGCCTGTGATCCTATCTATGTGGGAGGCTGAGATTGGGAGAATTGTGCTTCGAGGCCAGTCCAGGTAAATAGTTCCTGAGACCCCATCTCTAGGATAACTAGAGGTATGGAGATGTGGCTCAAGCAGTAGGATAACTAGAGGTACGGAGATGTGGCTCAAGCAGTAGAGAAAACCCAAGTTCAAACCCCAGTCCCACCAAAAAAAGGGCTGGGGATGTAGCTTAGTAGTAGACTTGCCTAGCATGTGCAAAGCCCTGAGTTTGATCCTCAGCCCTGAATATACAAAATTGCACCTGGGGATGGAGCTCAGTGGTATAGCGCTTGCCTAATTCATGTGAAGCCCTGAGTTCAAGATCAAGAAGTATAAAAGTATAATCCAATGATCCACATTTTAAGGATGCTGAGGGAGAAGATCACAAGTTTGAACAGGCCAACCTGGGCTACTTAGTGAGACACTGACTCAAAATAAAATTTACAAAACAAAACAAAAAGACTGGCAGATATAACTCAGTGGTATAGCACAAAGTGCCACAAAGAAAGCCAGATCAAAGCCAGAAGGAATGACAACAAAGAACAAAAGATGGAAATAATTCAAATGAGAGTATCATGTAACATAAACCTGACATTCTCACAAGTTTCAGACTGGTTATTAGTATGGATGACAAAATAAGCCTTCTTTGACCTCCCCTCAAAGGAACTTCTTTCAATCCAGAAGGAATAAAAACGTACAACGGGTAAGGGAGGCCTAGCCACAGTCACAAGAGGCCAGGAGGAAACTCCAACACCTCAGAATTGTCGCTTTACAATGGCTCCTTACAGAATAATTTAAAAAAACATAAAACTATGAAAAATAGTCACATTTGAAGAACATTTTGATTCACCCATAAACCCAACAGAATTCAAAAAGAGAAAATGTAATGGATTTAATGTAAAAACACTACCTGTTAAACCCCTGTACTCTTGCTTAATGGGGGCTTCCTGAATTACCTCAATTCAATATCCAACTGCAAGAGTAATAAGTGGAAATCCATTTTCCAGGGATATACTTCAAGTAACAGCAACTGGAAGGGCATGGTTTTTCACACCTTAATCCCATGTACTCAGCATGCTGAGGCAGTAGGATCACAAATTTGAGGCCAACCTGGATGGACAAGTAAGTGAGACCATATTCAAAATAAAATAAAGGCTAGAGATGTAGCTCAGTGGTAAAGTCTCACAAAAAGGTTCTGAGTTCAATACCCAGTACCAGAAAAAAAAAATGAGCAGGGCTGCTAGAGTAGCTCAAGTAGTAGGACACCTACCTAGCAAGCATGAGGCCCTGAGTTCAAGCCCCAGTACCACCAAAAAAATAAGCAAATGATGTATTTATAAGGTTCAGACATTTTTCATGATGTGAATTTTGTGGAATATACAAGGGTTAATTTGCATAAGAATTTTCTATATTGTTACATTAATAAGCATCTCTGCAGTGAGTCTGCCCAAGAATCTCGTTTCACATGAGGAACTAAGTATCACATGAGTATTCAAAATTAGAAACTTTCCATGGTGTCTCCTTTTTGCAGGGTTATATATTTTTGCAGCCTTGTATTTTGCAAGGATGTGTGCCATGGGCTTTCCCACATTGCTTACATTCAGTAAATTGCTCTCCATTGTGTGTTTTGTGTGTGTTTATAAATGGACTTTTATACATTATTTCCATGTAAAGGGTTTTTCTCCTGTGCATTGTCATGTGTCATTAAAAGGCTATGTGACTGCTGATGGCTCTCCCGTACTGCTGATTATCATAGAGTTTCTCTTTACTTCCTTCTGGTTAATATCTGGAGAATTCAATTTTTTTCATATGTTTTATACTCACAGAAATTTTTCTACAATAAGTCTATATTTTTTTGAAGTTTTATCAAGGATTTATTTTAGTATAACGGGATAAACTAGTCAAGATTGGGGTGGTGGTGGAGAGAAATATCTTGTTCCCCAAGTAGGAAATGGGAGCAAAGATTCCAGATTTTTTTTGCAGTAGTAGAGCTTGAATTTACAGCCTCTTGCTTGCAGCAAGCTCTAACACTGGAGTCACTCACTAGCTCCTTGCTCCTTCTCTATCTTCAAAGGGAAATGGGACAGCTGATAGCTTTACCACTGTCCAATGTGAACTCCTCCATATATTTGGAAGGAAAAACTTGCTTTGTCAAATTGTTGGTATTTGTCAGTTTTCCGGTGGGAATTCTTTCAGGTTCAAAAGAAATTAAGAGCCCGGCACCAGTGGCTCACATCTGTAACCCTGGCTACTCAAGAGGCAGAGCTCAGGAGGATCCCAGTGAGGCCCAGTGGGGCAAATGCTTCCCGAGACACTGTTGAAAAATACCCAACACAGAGCCAGGAGCTGGTGGCTCATGCCTGTAATCTTAGCTACTCAGGAGGCAGAGATCAGGAGGATCACAGTTCAAAACCAGCCTGAGCAAATAGTTCACAAGATTCTATCTCAAGAAAACCCTTCACAAAAAAGGGCTGGGGGAGTAGCTCAAGGTGTAAACTCCTGAGTTCAAGCCCCAGTACCACAAAAAAAAAAAAAAAAAAAAGAAAAGAAAAATACCCAACATAAGAAAGGGCTGGCAGAGTGGGTCAAGTGGTAGAGCACCTGCCTAGCAAGCCCAAGGCCCTGAGTTAAACCTCAGTAGTGCCAATTAAGGAAAAAAAAAAGAGAATTGGGGCAACTTATGGCTGTATGACATTGTTCAGACTCACAGGTTTTCCCTCCAGTGTGAATCCTTTCATGTATTAAAACTACAACTCAATTTAACTCAATTGGGGTGTTTTTTGGTGGGACTGGGGTTTGAACTCAGGGCTTTGTGATCTACCACTTGAACCACACCTCCAGTCCATTTTACTCTGGTTATTTTGGAGCTGGTGTCTCATGGACTATTTGCTCTGACTGGGTTTGAACTGCAATCCTCCAGCTCTCAGCCTCCCAAGTAGCTCAGATTACAGGCATGAGTTACTGGTGCCCGGCTGCACTAAGTTCAGTAAAGCGTTCTAAAATAACTAAAGCAAATGAGGGCCTTGCCATATTGCTCACACTCATGGGATTTCAGTCCAGTGTGGGCTGTCACATGAATGTGGAGAAGAAAAAAAAGAGTGGGGTTGGGATGTAGTTCAGTGGGAAACTAGTCTAGCATATATGAGGGCCTATCTTCAATACTCAGAACTTCAAAAAAAAAAAAGGGAGGGAATGGAAGGGAAAGGGAAAGGGAGGAAAGGGGCAAGAAAGGAAGGAGGGATGGGGAGGGAAACTTATGAAAAAGGAAGAGAGGAATGGAAAGAGAAAAGAAAAAAAGAAAAGAGCCCAGCGCTGGTGTCTCAAGCCTGCAATCCTAGCTACTAAGGAGGCAGAGATCAGAGAGGATCGCAGTTCAAGGCCAGCCCAACACAATGGATGGTGGAATGGAGGAAGTGGTAGAATGCCAGCCCCACAAGCATGAGGCCCCAAGTTCAAATCCCAGTATTACCAAAAATAAGGGAAAGGGAAAAAGAAAGAAAATGGCATCCACTCTTGAAAATGAGTAAGTAAAATTGTCTGTTCATGAGTTACCAGCCTGACCTTCTATGAGAAAACCATTCCACAAAGGGTGAAACTGTCAGATTTAATAAAGGAATTCAGTAATGGTACTGAATACAAAACAAATACACAAAAATCAGTTGCATACCCCAAATCTCAGCAAATACATTAACTATCTTAAAAGAAATTGATAAAGCAATTTATGAAGACATTAAAAATAGCAAAACACATAGGAATATATGTAATAACAAATGAATGACCTTATGCAATGCAAATTACAAAACATTGCTGAATAAATGAAGCAAAACAAATACATGAAAAGACATGCGTGGATTAGAACATTTAAAACTACCAAGAGGATAATGCTTCTCAAAGCACATTCACTGCAATCCCAGTCAAAGTCATAATGGTTTTTATTTAGCAGAAGTAGAAAACTCCATCCTAAAATTCACATTGACTTTCAAGAAACCCTGAATACCAAAACAATTTTTGGGGGGTGGGTAACTAGTGTTTGAATTCAGGGCCTTACATTCACCAGACAGATGCTCTACCACTACTGGTGGAGTGACTCAAGTGGTAGAGCACCTGCCTAGCAAGCGTGAAGCCCTGAGTTCAAACCCCAGTACTGCCTAAGGAGGGGGAAAATGAAACACTAGATTGGGTGTGTGTTTTACTGACAGAGTCCTTGCATGGCATGGTCAATACACAGGGTTCAGTCCCAAGCACCACGTTTTATATACTATGTTTGACCAGAATTTTACATGCAAATTGTACACAGGTTCAAAAGGCCTGAGGAAACTCAGGTACACAGTCAATTATGAGAGAAAAGGATATGATAACTTTTGTTAATATTTGAAATTGCTAAGTCCTTCCCATAAAATGTGATGCCACTGTATCAATTTAATAGTACAAGAAAGGGTATCAAGTTTCCCCTGGTGGGGGGAACTTAAGTACACTTATCCTAAGTAGGTTGGTTTTTGTTTGTTTCATTTTAGTTTCTGCAATGGCGGAAACCAAATCTGAGTCCTTGTGCACACTAGGAAAGTGCTCTACCACTGGGCTATATTCCATGCCTTTTTGGATCCTAATATATATCAATTGCTAAAGTAATAGGAAAATGTCATTAACTTTATAGAACTGAATTGTAGCCACTACAGATTTTTCTCCCATGGAATGTACAATGAGAATTAGATTCCACCTTGACTATTAAACATGACAAGAAAATATAATATTCCCTATCTTTAGTTCTGTCAGGAGGTATTAAGAACTGCCAAAATGCACAAACAGCATGGTTGGTTTTCTCCTTTTGTTTAGGTTTTAGGAATGGGAACATGACCCAGGGCTTCAGGCATACTAAACAAGCACTTCACCAGTGCTATGCCCCGTCTTGGTATCTTTGCCTTTCTCATCACATGCAGGACACTGTAGATGTTATCAGACCTCAAACAGGCAGCAACATCACTGCCTGCATAAAGCAGTGGCCTACCTGGCTTACAGACACCTTATGGCCTGTGCATGTGCATCATCTCCCGTGCTCCTTGAGGTTTTTGTGAAACAGAAGGAATACCCCCTATAGTCAAGGCCTCCATAAACTCTCAGCTGTGTCCTGTTCATCTCTCTTCCCCATACTTTCATCCAAATACAGCTACTTGTGTCCTGTGAAAAACCACACTGGAGTTACACCATGGTGGTTGTTTCTAATCTCTGGTCAAAACTACCACTGTGGACTTGCTCTTCTAGAGACAGAACAAGGCAGTGAGTTGTGAGGATTACCTAATTCTGTCACTGCTCTTCTCCGATCCACCTAACTCTATGAAACCTAATGATCCACCCATCATTCATGTGGACACAATCTGAGGGTGAAGGCGTCATCTTCCCATACAACCAGTTTGTTCACTGATTGCTACTCTGTCCTGTGATTCCTGGGCTTTGACCTGTGGGGGCGTTTCAATCAGGCTTTTTCAGGCCAGCAGCTTGCCTGGCATCCTCGAAGATACAATGTCTTGAAGTACAGCAGGCTGACATCCTGCAGTGCCTGGGTCACTTTCGTCTCTGATGACAGTAGCATGTCAGGGAAGGTTATGAGGCCAGGGAGATCTCTATCTTGCCTCCCACTGCTGTGCTGCTGAGATGCATCTGTTTCTATAAATGCTAATAACTGGAGGAGGGGCTTAGTGGTACTAGGGATCAAACCCTGTGAGTTACACATCCTAGTAAAGTGGTCTACCACTGAGCTACATTCCCATGTCTGCTACATTCTCATACAGCAAAACAGCAACACCCAGAAATGAATAAAACAGTACAGAGATTGTGAAAGCACTATGGAATTCCACTGAGGGAATCCAGAGAGGCAGTTTAGGTATAGACTGCTTGCAAAGTATGCAATAGACCCTGAATTTGACCGCCAGCATTACCATTAAAAAAAAAAAGGGAATGAGAGCTGAAGGTGTTTAGCTCAGCGATACAGTATAAGCTTAGCATGTGCAAGCCCTAGGCTTAATCCCCATCAACACACACATCATGAAGATAGTAACATCTCAGGTCTCAAGAAAAAAAAAAAAAGGAATAGTGGAGAGAGGATAAAGGAGAAAGATGGAGGGTGAATCTAACTAAGATATATTGTAAGCACTTTTTTTTGTAAATGCCACAATGTACCCCTGGTACAAATACAATGTCCTATTTAAAAAAAAAAAGGCATAACTATAATACACTAACCTAGTGCTCAATCTTTTGCAGAACATGAAGGAGCTCTATGAATTTAATCCCCAGGTTGAGTGGTAAAAACTGTAAGAGAATCCAACCATATAAAGCCACTGGAAATCGTCCTGTGGTCAAAAACAAGTGGAGAAACACATGCTGAAGAAATCTCTGTAAGGGATTGAAGATATAATTCACTGGTATTATAAAGATATAATTGCCTAGCATTTGCAAGACCCTGGGTTCCATCCCCAGCACTGCAAAAAAAAATGTAAATTTGGTATTAGTGTAAGATTCTGGCATTTGGACCAAGGCTACAACCTCTCTACCCTCACAGATCAGATGGTATACTCCACTCCACTGCTGTAGCCAAGAGCACAGTGCTCTCTCCCCTTTGAACTTCCATTGAGGATTTTCTTCTTGTGGGAGTAAAACATCAGTACTTCTCCTGCTTCCTAAGTTTTGTTGCTATGACTTTATCCTTTGTGAATATGGTGAAAAGAGAGGGCTCCCTTCTGCTATCAATCCTATGCTTGTGTAATACCAGTTTAAAAATATTAGGGCCAAAAATACCCTTACTATGGCTCAAGATAGTTTTTCCATGCCAAGAGGTGCAAGCTCTGCATACTTCAAGCTGCTGCCTCCTTCCTCCATTTTGTGCTGAGGCTCTCTAAATGGTTGTTACTCAGAAAGAACAAGACCATTGTTTCAGACCCAGATGCAAAGTACTGACACACAAGATTTTACTCAGTCACTAAATACTCCTCGTCTCATCTCATGTCTAAGTGAAGTTATTCCCAAACTCAACATATTTGTGCACTTTTTTCTGCCCTATGAGATCTTTCATGTACTTGAAAATTTCTGGAACGACTGAAAGCTTTACCACACTTTGTACACTACTAGGATTTTTCTCCAGTATGCATCTTTTTATGTTTTTGAAAGTCACTGGAATGACTGAGGGCTTGTTCACATTCTGGACATACTTAGGGCTTCACTCCAGTGTTGAGTTCTTTTGTGCTTTTGAAAGGAACTTGAACGAGTAAAGGTCTTATCACACTTTGCACACTTATAGGGTCTTTCTCCAGTATGAGTAATTTCATGTCTTCGAAAAGAACTGGAACAACTGAAGGCTTTCCCACATTCCTTACATTCATAGGGTTTCTCTCCAGTATGAATTCTTTTATGTACTTGAAAGGAACTAGAATTAGTAAATGCTTTACCACAGTGTTTACATTCATAGGGTTTTTCTCCAGTGTGAATCCTTAGATGTATCTGAAAGGAAGTTAAACGACTAAAGGCCTTACCACACCGTGTACACTCATAAGGTCTTTCACCAGTATGAATAACCTTATGTCTTCGAAAAGAACTGGAACAACTGAAAGCTCTCCCACACTCCTTACATTGATAGGGCTTCTCTCCAGTGTGAGTTCTTCTATGTATTCGAAAGGAACTGTAATTAGTAAATGCTCTACTGCAGTGTTTACATTCGTAGGGCTTCTCTCCAGTGTGAATCCTTATATGCATTCGAAGGTACGTAGAAAGACTGAAGGTTTTCCCACATGTCTGACATTCATAAGGTTTCTTCCCAGAGTGACTTGCTTCATGCCTTTGAAAGGAACTCGGGCAACGGAACGTTCTCCCACACTCCATACATTTATAAGGTTTCTCTCCAGTGTGAGTTCTTTCATGTCTTTGAAAGGAAGTGGAAGTACTTAAAGTTTTACCACACTGTTTACAATCATAGGGTTTCCTTGCACTGTGTGCCTTTTCGTGTATTTGTAATGAAACGGACCTAATGAATGCTTTCCCACATTCCTTACATTTATAAGGTCCTTCTCCTGTGTGAAGTATCATGTGCCTTTGAAACATCGAGAGAGAAAAGAAAGGTTTCCCACACTGTTTACACTCATTGTATGCGTTCTTTCTAGTATGAGTTCGTTCATGGACTCGAAGGGTACTTGAACGGCCAAAGGCTTTACTGCACTTTTTACACTCATAGGGTCTTTCTCCAGTGTGAGATCTTTTATGTCTTTGAAAAGAACTTGAACAACTGAAGGCTTTCCCACATTCTTTACATTTATAGGGTCTCTCTCCTGTATGAATTCTTTCATGTATTCGAAAGGACCTGGAAGAACTTAGACTTTTCCCACACTGCTTACATTGATAGGGTTTCTGTTGAGTATGAGTTCTTCCATGTGCTTGAAATAACCTGGAAGAATAAAAGGCATTTCCACATATCTTACACTTAAAATGTCCATCATCATTGTGGGTGCTCATGTGTCTTTGAAAGCTTGCTAGAGAAGTATGTAACTTTCCACGTTGCTTACATTCATTCTGTTTCTTTCTAGTGTGAGCTGATTCAGACATTTGCATGGAGTAGAAATGACTGTTGGCTTGTCCACATTGCTTATCCTGATGTGCCTTCTCTCCAACCTCCTGATACTTAAATGATTTGTTTGCAGTGTGAACTCTCATGTGTCTACGAAGGGGTGAGTGACCAATGAAGACTTCTCTACACACAGTGCATTCATAGGACTTCACTTCACTTTCCTCACACAGACTGAGATCTGGAATCTTGCTGAAGGTTTCTCCACACTGACTACCTTCTTTCCTTTCCCAGAGTCTTTTCATCACATGGCTTCTGTAAGCATGAAAAGCAAATACAAAAAATTAAAATATATTATATACATGTATGGAAATATCAAATTAAACTCCTTTGTACAATTAATATATGCTAATAAAAAACATTATTAATAAAGTTCTGTTTCTTAATAATTTTGTTTGGTTTTGGCGGGACTGAGGTTTGAACTCAGGGCTTCATGCTTGCAAAGTAAGTGCTTTATCACTTGAGCCACATCTCCAGTCCATTTTCCTCTGGTTATTTTGTAGATGAGGTCTCACAAACTATTTTCCCCAGCTGGTCTTAAACCACAATCCTCCCCATCTCAGCCTCCCAAGTAGTTAGGATTAAAGGCATGAGCCACCAGCACCTGGCTACTTTTGTATCTAGTACCATGAATTACATTACATTGTTAATACTATCAAGGAAAGAGAGGGCTTTATGTCACCTTAGAATTTCTTGAACACAAACTGATCGAGAAAGATATATATAGCTTGATCACAGTTATAATCAAAGTGTTAATATTCACACATAGGAATTATTAATGCTGATTCCAACTGAACTACCTATGTAAGAATTAAGTATTTAATTCTAGACTTTTTTTTTCTTTTTTTCCTTTTGCGGTATTAAGGTTTAAACTCAGGGCTTTGCACTTGCTAGGCAGGCACTTTATGACTTGAGTCATCCTCCAAGCTCTAGAGAAAATTTTTGCAGATTAAAAATTTTGAAGTTGGGCTTATTTCTTAGGCTTTGTTTTTAAATTTTCTCAACCAGTACATGGTGGTGCACGTCTGTGGTCTCAGGTACTTGAGACACTGAGGCAGAAGGATCACTTGAAACCATCCTAGCCAACATAGTGAGAAACTGTGACAACAAAAAATTTAAATAAAAATGTATGTTTATAACACACTGCATTTCTCTCCCTTTTGAGTGCAGAGTACCTTATGTTTCTCCCAGGATTTTTATGCTGATCTTCAGTGTGCTGGTCTTCCCATTTTATTCCTAAAATACAGACCCAGGAGAACATTATGAATTATGAGAGTATTTTGAAAATCTATTACATTCTAGGCTCACACTTAGACACCAAGTGTCTTTATTCACCCAAGTATTCCCTTTCCATATTCTACTTCTTTTTTAGCAGTATTGGGATTTGAACTCAGGGCTTTGCACTTGCTAGGCAGATGATCTACTACTTGAGTCAGACCTCCAGCCCTTTTCTATATTTTAAGCCAGTGAAGACCACCAATGATCAAAAAACACTTGCTATGCAAATGACTAACTAAAGGAATATTGTCACCCTTACCTACAGAGGCCAGGTTCCTGATGGTTTCACTCATGACATCTTTGTAGAGATTCTTTTGAGAAGAATCCAGCAGAGCCCACTCCTCCTGAGTGAAGTTCACAACTACATCCTCAAAGGTTACTGAGTCCTGAAACATCATATATAATGTATGGAGCATGAAAGGTGAGACAGACAACACAGGATATCTATACTAAATTCATAAGAAGTTCTCATGTTTCTGGCCTTCGAATATTAATTTTATGACTGGGTCCTCAAATTATTTCTCTCCATATTCATATCCTGTCCTGTGGCCCTAGATGAACAAATGAATCATTAATAAGGAAATAATGAAATCAGGATGTGGGTCCCCTTTAATTTCTCTTTTGAGAGATGTCTAATACCTGTTTTGACAAAGCTGTACTCATAAAACAGCAAAGATTACAATACTGACACTATTTTTCCTTTGAAATGCCGGCTCACAATGTTCAACCTTGGCCCCTATTGGGTATATTAAATATTTGAAGGAATCCTACCATACTAAGTGGCCAGGAGTAGCTCATTCCATCCTAATAGCTTATACAAACAACACAGTATTTGTTATACTCCTGCTTTCATACAGAAAAGACAGTGCCTACATGAAAATTCCTCAAAATCAGAAGCATTGAGTAAGTTGCTTTGAGTCTCTAATGCACTTCTTCCCTGTTTGAAAACATTTTGTCACATGGAAATATTATATTGAGAAGTCATAACCTGGCTGTTTGTTTTCCCCTAAAACAAATTTAATCGAGCACTAAGTAATACTAATGAAAAATATTTCACCATCCTGAGAGGAAAACTGAATTTTTATTAGGTGATGTCAAGTAAGAATGAAATAGATGGAAGATGGCACATGTTCCAAAAAGGAACTCAATGCTACCAAGATATCATAAATTAGATGTCTGTATAAAATTCCCTAAATCCAAAGGTAGGCATTTTAGAAGTCAAGAAAACGACTTTCCAAATCTAATAAAGGAGCAAAAATGTCATGCCAGAGGAGTGGTTCTGTGGAAGATCAACTGCCAGCCAGCACACACAAGACCTTGGACTCCATCCCAGCCCTGGAAAAATTATATAAGGAAAATCTAAAAATGGTCAAAGTCTTTTTTAAAAAACTACTGGAGGTTGAGGTCAGGGTCATGTGCTTGCTAGGCAAGAGATCTACCACTCGAGTCACACCCCCATCCCTAACAGTCAAAATCTTACTAGAAAGAAAGAAATGATAGTATGGGCACACGGGGAATGTCTGCAGCCCAGCAAGGCAAGAAAATCACATTAGCCCAGGAGTTCAAGGCCAGCCTGGGCAAAATACCAAGATCCTGTCTCAGAAAACTCTCCCACTTTATTCACACACACACAAAAAGAAAGGCTTGTAAGACTATAACATTCTAGACACCATAGTAATATCCCTGATAGAAACAAATAAACCAAGAGACAATTGCAAGCACAAAGTCCTGACTTCAATCCCCAATCCCCTCCACACACACAAAGAAACAAAGTACTCCTCAATTGGCCAGCATTTACATGAAAAGTGAATTATAGGGTAGACATGGCATAGTCAAAGTAAAAAAAGTCATGAGCTCTCACATGTATGGAATCTAGAATTCAGAATCCAGTTGGAAAACTATTTCAATGCCTTCTATTCCATGGGCAACAGTCAATTCATTGTATGTGAAATGTGAAAGATGTAACTAAAAGGTTTTAATATGTCTTTTTGTTAAAAAAAATATATACAGAAATTCCTTGTATAAGGCATGGTGGCACGCACCCATAATCTCAGCACACAGGAAGCTGAAGCAAGAGGACTGCAAGTTTGAGGACAGTCTAGCCCATATTGGTAGTAGTTCAAGAACAGGTTTCACTGCATAGTCACTGCATTATGTCATTGCATAATGACATAATGTCTCAAAAACAAAACAAATATTAAACAATACAAGAAGTTAGGGATAAACCCAAATACATTAAAATTAAGGGAGGGCTGGAGGCATAGCTCAAGTGATGAGTGCTTGCTTGCCCTGCAAGAACAAAACCCTGATTTCAAAACCCAGTACTGCCAAAATACAAAATAAACATACCATACTAGTGTGAGGTGTTAATAAAAGGGAGAGCTGGACATGGGATACATGGATACTTAAAAAAAATACTAATTAGCCAACATGACAAAATAGAGGAGGTCTGAAAAGACCCAAATTAATAAAATCAAAGATGAAAATACTAACAAAACCCAGAGGGTCATTAGAGAGTACTTTGAAAACTTATAGTCAAGTAAACTGGAAAATCTAGGTGAAACGGATAAATTTCTAAATTTATATAACCAACCAAAATTGAGCCAAGAAGATATTAATCACCTAAATAGACCTATAACAAGAAATGAGATTGAAGCAGTAATAAAGAGCCTCCCTACAAAGAAGAGCCCAGGACCTGATGATTTCACAGCTGAATTCTACCAGACCTTTAAAGAAGTAGTAAATACTCCTCACACTTTTCCAGGAAATAGAAAGAAAAGGAACACTATCACACTCATTCTATGAAGTCAGTATTACACTCATTCCAAAACCCAAAAAAGATGCAACAAAAATGAGAATGACAGACCAGTATCTTTTATGAATACAGACACAAAGATTCTCAACAAAATACTGACAAACATAATTCAACAACATGTCAAAAAGATCATACACCAAAACCAAGTCAGTTTCATCCCAGGGATGCAAAGATGATTCAACATATGCAAATCTACAATAATACAGCACATAAACAGAACCAAGGACAAAAACCACATGATCCACTCAATAGATGCAGAAAAGGCTTTTAACAAAATTCAGCACCCTTTCATGATAAAAGCTCTGAAGAAACTAGAACTAGAAGGAACATTCCTCAACATAATAGTATCAAAATACTATACTAAATGGAGAACAACTGAAACCATTCCTGCTAAAGTCAGGAACAAGACAGGAATGCCAGCTTTATCCATTCCTATTCAATGTAGCTTTGAAATTCCTAGCCAGGGCACTAAGACAAGGGCAAGAAATAAAAAGAGATTCAAACAGGGAAGGAAGAAGTCAAATTATCCCTATTTGCAGATGACATGATCTTATACCTAAGAGACCCTAAAAACTCCACCAAAAAGCTATTAGAACTCATAAACTTTTGGCAAAGCAGCAGAATACAAAATCAATATACAGAAATCAGTAGCCTTCCTATGTACAAACAATGAACAGACCAAGAAAGAAATCGGGGAAATAATCCAATTTACAATACCCTAAAAAAAAAGTACCTTGGAATAAATATAACAGAGAAAACCAAAGTCCTTTTGAATGGAAGCTGTAATTCTACTGAAGAGAGAAACTGAAGACGACATCAGAAGATGGAAGGATCTCTCATGTTCATGGATTAGTAGAATCAAACATTGTGAAAAGACCCATACAACCAAAAGCAATCTTCATGTTCAAAATCCCAAAGCCATTCTTCACAGAGACAGAAAAATTATCCTAAAATACATATGCAAGCACAAAAGACCTTGAATGGCCAAACCAATTCCAAGCAAAACAGTCCAATGCTGGAGTTATCACAATTTCCAACTTCACTATGCAACAGAGGCATAACAATAAAAGCAGCATAGTACTGGCACAAAAACAGACAGGAACACCAATGGATTAGAATAGAAGACCCAGACATAAACCCCTGCAGCTACGGCTGACTGATCTTCAACAAAGGAGCCCAAAACATACGCTGGAGAGAAGATAGTTCTTCAACTAATGTTGCTGGAAAAACTGGGTATCTGCCTGCAGAAAGCTAAACTAGATCTGTCTCTCACCCTGTACCATATCAACTCAAAATGGATCAAAGACTTTAATATAAGGCCTGAAAATATGAAACAACTATGGGAAGTAGTAGGATATATATTGGAACATATAAGCACAGGGGAACTCAAAAGGCTCAGTATCTAAGAGAAAGAATGAACAAATGGGACTGCATCAAACAAAAGCTTTTCACAGCAAAAGAAACAGTCACTAGACTTCAGAGACTGCCCACAGAATGGGAGAAAATCTTTGCCAGCTATTCATCAGACAGCTATTCATCTGATAAGGAACTAATATCCAGAATCTACAGGGAACTCAAAAAACTCAACCCCCAAAGAATTAACATGCTAATGAAGAAATGGGCACATGAATTAAACAGGGCATTCTTAAAGAAAGAGATACAAATGGCCAATAAATACATGAAGTGTTCTATTTCCATGGCTATAAAAGAGATGCAAGTCAAGATTTGAGTCTAAAACTGCATCTCACCCCAGTTAGAATGGCCATATTCCAGGGCAATAACAACAACAAATGCTGGTGAGGAAGTGGTGAAACAGGAACTGTTGGTGGGAATGCAAATTAGTACAAACATTATGGAAAGCACTATGGAGATTCCTTAAAAAGCTAAAGATAGAAATGCCATAAGATCCAGTGATATCGCTCCTGGGCATATACTCAAAGGAACATAGTCAGGATACAATAGATACACCTGTACACCAATGTTCATCACAGCACTAGTCACAATAGCTAAGCTATGGGAACAATCCAAATGCCCTACAACTGATGAATGGATCAAGAAAATGTGGTTTGTATACACAATGGCGTTTTACTTAGCCCTAAGTAATAATGACAACATATGGTTTGAAGGTAAAATAAATGCAACTGGAGGACATCAAGTTAAGTGAATTAAGCCAGGCTCAGACAGACAAAGGGCACATGTTTTCTCTCATGTGGATGATAGATCCAAAAGACAAACATACACAAAAACAAACATGATCATACACAAGTCATAAGTAGAACATGTTTGTAATAGTGGAACTCAGGGAAGGAAGGAAAGGAAAAGAGAATGATAAGAGCATCAACAATATCATTAAACATAACCATGAAGGTAGAGGAAATGAGGCTATGTATTGAAAATTGCTGAAAAATGTGGGGTGGGAGGTAAAGGGATAAGGGAGAGCAACAGAAGGAGTTGAACAGACCAAAGTAAAGTATACTCACAGCAGGGATACCTTGAGAAACCCCCTGAAGATTGACTTAGATATTAATAACCAAAGAAAGGACTGTAAAACAGGTACAGTGTGTGTGTGTGTGTGGGGGGGTA